ATGGATGTGATAGTAAGTAGATCCCTCACTTTTATATGGAGAACAAAAAGAAAAAAAAAGAGAGAGAGAAATCGCTTACCTAGCCTCGCCTATTTCAACACCGAAGGAAAGTGGAGTGGAGGAAGGGGCACAAGAGAAGGGTTTGGGGCTGAGGCAACAAATCGAGTAGACCAAAATTGACCGAAGTTGAATTGCTTTACACATTTTACATTTTAAAGCAATATTCTACGTGATTTTTTAAATTAAATAAACAGAAAATGTACGTTGAAGACGAAGTTGCTAAAATGTCAAAAAGTTTGAGATCGAATTGACAGTTTAAAGAAAAATAGATTGTTGAGAATCTGTTTATACAAAATTAAATAGTTGAGGCCTTTTTTTGCAATTTTTCTCAACTGTAATGTGTGCAAGATTCTGTGCCAGACCCTTTCACACTAGGTGGCATTGATATTTATCTATATCCGTTTCTCAGCCGATGGTCGGCTTACTTGAGTCTTAAGCCTCGGCTTTATATCAATTGACCATTTCGATATAATATTACGCCTTACATGATCCTTATTTGTGACTCATTTTTAAAATTTTTTTTCCTCAAACTCATTTTCAATTTATATATATATATATATTGTAATATTTTTTGACCACACAATCTCAAAAAGACTCACTTTTCAAAATTATTTCTGAAAAATCAACTTCGCAGGAAGGCATATTTTAGTTTTACTAATTAAAATATCATTTATTGCATAGGAATAAGGAATTCTGTGAATGAGTAAATGATAAGATTGTAAAATTAATGACTAGGGTAATCTTCATTTACAATTCAAGTTTTGTTTGTTTGCACTAATAAAATTGAATTCCCGCCTATTTAAAGTTGGTGAATGATTTTATCAACTTAACACACGTAGTGGTTCAATGATTATTTCTTTTCCTTTTATAGTTTAATAAATTGTTAATCAACTCAAACGTGTTGTGGCTCAATGATTAATTCTTTTTCTTCTATAGTTCATTATATTGTTAATACATATGTGATCTACTTAAGTTGATTACGTATAGTGTCACTTTGTCGTCAAGTATTATAATATAGTTTTTAAAATAAAATTTGTGTCATTCTTTCAAGTAAATTTCAAAAAAGAAAGATAAGTTAGGTGTAATGTTAAATCAAGATTATCCCCTCAAGATATTATGCTTCTATTGTGCACTTGGGACATATTATGCTATGTAAATATAAGTCAATTTCGATAATAGATTAAATCGATATTTAATACAATAAACAATAGTATCTAAAATGTTTAAAGATCAAAATTCTTTAAGTATACTTCATAATGATATATATATATATATATTTTTTTTTTTTTATTTTTTTATTTTTATTTTTTTTTAACTTTACGCAACTAAGTTCTTTATACTAATAAATATAAGGATCGTGTTACACGTACATAATAATTTATACAATCGTTTACACCTCACTCACATCATCAAAGTGGGGACCACGACTCGACATTATTAAATACACGCGGGACCCGCGTGTTTGTGGGGGTGGGGGGACACGCTTCGGTAACCCCCCTTTAGTACATATGGTTTATTCCTATATATAAATATCAAATTTCATTTATATTGATGGTTGTTACCTTCTCGTCTTTCACTACTTTTGACGTGTATATTTTGGCAATAAATATGAGATCACATGATCAGACACCTGGAGTTAATTAAACGCGTTTAACTCATCGTTGATGACATATGAAGCTAGATGACTAACTTCCTCTCTAGTAATCTTCATCTTGCACGGCTGATCAAATTTTAAAAAATAAAATAAAACGTTCCATTCAAGACCGGCTCGAATTAGCCTAGCTGATCCACCGACTCCTTCAACAACTCAAAGAAGCGGTGGCGCCACCACAGTAAGTTGAACCAACCCGAAATAGGTGGCGTGGGGCCTCCGAGCGGATGAGGTCAAACCCTCCATCACCTGCCAGGTAGGACACCCCACACCCTCGCACCAACCACTCACCTGCCTATATATAAAAATACAAACTCCCTCATCAAAATCTTCTTACAAATTACATACACAAAAATTACATAAACACTTCAAAACAGCAAATCTATGGGAAATTGCTGCAGAAAAGAATCCTCAATGCAATGGGGTGGTGAAGATTGGGGTTCTTTCGACTCCAAAACTCAAAGCAACCCGATGAATAATACGACAGAAGAAAAGAGCGTTTCCACAGAAACAGGAACAGAAGTCAAAATCAAAATATCCAAAAAGCAATTAGATGAGCTTTTGAGCAGCGAAAATATCAAAGGATTATCAGTACAGCAGATCCTAACACAGTTAATGAACGTCAGTGATGGTTTTGAGACTCATCAACAGTCTTGGAAGCCTGCCCTTCAAAGTATACCCGAATGAGGTTTTTGTACAGAATTTTTCAGTTGAAAAGTTTGATATTCTTTGGTAAATAGAAATAGGGTTAGAAGGGTTGATTTGGAAATTTTGTGTTCATGTATATAGTAATATTGGATAGAAAGCTGAAGCAAAGTGTAATAAAGTTTTAAGTTTGTGTTTATGATTTTGTTGATAGAAAAATTTGTTTGGGAGTATGAATATTGTTTGACAAAGCTTTCGATATAAAATTTTAATAAAAACTAAAAGCATGGTTAAAAAGTTCATAAATTTTTAGCAAAGTTCTATAAAACAAACAGTTGAACTTGTTAGACAGTTGAAAGATCTTGAGCCTGTTTGGGAGTGATTTTGAGAATTGATTTTTTGACTGTTAAGAGAAAAGTGAGGTCTACATGTAAGAGAAGAAATCAAATATGATGACTAGAATAGTGAAATAATGGTCAAAAAATCAATTTTTTAGACTAAAAAATCACTCTCAAACAAGCTGCTTATTTCTAAGTTGGGCTGCCATCTAATTTTTAAATTGTCAATGCGTTAGTGTGAAAAGGTTAGCATATAGAAGACCAACTTTAAGTATGTCTCACATCTAAGAGTTTTGTGTTTATTTATATTATAGTTCAACATGTAATTATCTCGAGTCTCTTGATATTATTTTTTTTTTTCTCGAGAAACTCTTTTACGACTATTTCAATTATTTATTTGTTAAAACTTAAAGCAATAGAAGAGATCGATATTGGAGAAAGGTGAAGGTTGATTTTCACAAAGGTTGGTTAATCTTACCAGGTTGGCGTGGATTAAACTAAGTTCAAAGTTGATTTGATTAGTTTAAAGAAGAAGAAATTTTTTTCAGAGAGAATAATGAATTCATTTTACATAAAACTAAACTTTTCTAATGACAAAATTAGAAAGCAGTATTATTTTTTACAACACACTTCAAGATAATTTGTTTTGAACAATTCTTCATCACAATGAATGTGTATCCCTCTATTGCTGTTGGCATCAAAATTTTCTTGTTAGTTTTTTAGATCCTATCAACGTTGTATGGGATGGATTGGACCCACCCGATGGAAAAAAAAGGTTTTTCTTTTTATTCCTCTCATCATATGATTTTGTAAAATAGGCAAAGGTTACTGTCACAACCTAGTTGAATATGATGGTCCATTGCTTCATGGATAATGAAGCAGCGGACTTCACACCTAAATGCTTGCTAAGCACCTTATCCCCATGCGCCCACTAATGAGCTGAGCATCGAATTTCTCGAACGAGTAGTTCGTCAGCTTGTAGGAGTTGGGTTGTGAGCCGAGCAAGCATGTCAATCGTTTTGAACGAGCTAGTCAATGGCTTTCCAACCAATTCGTCAAATAAAGAGAAATATATAATTTCAATAAAAAAAAAATTGGCGAGTCAATTCATCCTCTTTTATCACCCATACCTGCACAAATGACTCGAAAAGTGAATTTTTACGATAAAATCGCTACAAATGGTAGCATTATAAAAAGTCCACCTAAGTGGGCCTAGTCACGAGGTTCGAATGAAATGTCACGCCTTGTTAATGAGCGTCTGGTGGCACTTTATTATATATATTTTTTCCTTTTTTAAAAGCCTTTCTGTTTGAGCCCCATTTTTTTTTTTTTTTTTTTTTTTTTCCCAAAATTTTTTTTTAAAAAATTTTTTTTTTTTTTTAAAGAGATGAGGCCCCACAATATGAGACCCAAGGCAGTGGCGCCTTTTTTTTTTGGCCCCCTTTTTTTTTTTTTTTTTTTTTTTTGCACAAAATGTATTTTGAAATAGTATTTTGATGGAAAATGTGTAGTTAAAAAATAAAGAAAAAGTTTTGAATTTGCATATAATATTATTTTATCGAAGAATGTGTGATTGAAAATAAGAAAAAGAAAAATATATTTTGAAAATAGTAGGGATCAAATAATGGCTTAACTTTAGTTTCAAGTTTCCAAATAACTTTAATTACTTGCCCAAAATTTGAAAATCAAAAATGCGTTAGAAAATTTCAAGCAGAACATGTCTAGTTGAAACTATGAAAAAAGTATTTCGAAAATTTGAAAAATGTATAGTTGACTAATTATAGAAATAATTAAATATAGTATTTATAATTTTAGATGTTTGGTATATATTATTTTAATAATTAAATGATTAAAAATTCTAAAATAATATTAAAAAAAGGTAACCTTTTTTTATTTTATTTTTTTAAGCTTGCCTAGACTCGTAAAATTTGAGACTTGACCTCCATGCTTAGTCACGCTTTACGCGTTTTAGAACAATGACTAATAGTAAGGAAGAAAAATGGAAAAAAAAGGTCCCGTATAAGATAATAATCGGATAAAAGTATAGGGGATCGAGTTCACATCTGCGATATATATGCAACCACAATATGTACATAATTTTTGTAGTAAAGGTTTTTTTTTTTTAAATAAATAAATACATGGTACTGCTATGCAAACAGATCAATCTACTTGTCATCATAGTCATAACATAATGGGGAATCAAAATTCATTAAGCTGAAATCAAAAGGGAGGCTAAGAAACCTATTTGAATTGGTCAAAAGGGTATTCCTCCATCATTTGCATTGCAAAAACTAGACAAACACACAGAAAACATACCCATATATTAACACAGTATTGTTTACACAAGACATGATCCATTTCATTCGCGATCACATGCATTTTTCCGCCTCCAACGTTCAATTATGGAATTGGGTTCACAATAAAAAAGTCAACTCGACGAATTAAATTCTAATTGCATCAAGCCATCAACAGCTATACATGGCTAACATGTGGGTGAGCTTTCCTTGACTTCTTGCACTTTTCTGCAATTACTGGTACCTGAAGAGAAGGAAAGGGTCGGTGCAGACTGAAACTTATAATTTATAATGGTAAGAATATTATTATTATATGAAAGAATTGGAGGAAAACCATTAAATTTGGAAGCGGTATATATATACATGCAGACGTTCCTTTTTCATCTGTAATTTGATACAAGATTGAGAATTGAAAACAAGGAATTCTTCAACGTCTACATAAAAAGATGACGGTACTTTCTCCCGCTCTCTCTATTTCGATTTGTTAAGTTTATCCTTGTTACTTCGTTGTATATTCCCTCCTAATTTTTGTATTTTTATCTGTAATTTTTGTTTCAGATTATTGAAATGCGTGTACACATGGACTGTGCTGGATGTGAGAACAAGATCAAGAAAGCTCTCCAAAAGGTTAAAGGTATTTCAATTTTCTAATTATAAACTGTTATTTCACCATAACCCTTCTTTTTTCACCCATCGATCTTTCATTTTATAAGTTGCCCAAGCAAAAGTTTAAACTGTCAAGAGATTGGACACATTTATTTAAATTTAATTTTTAACAAGTTACTCATCGTCACTCATTTATAAAAATTGCACGTGTTGAAACAGGAGTAGACGACATAGATATAGACATGGGAATGCAAAAGGTGACGGTGACAGGATATGCTGATCAAAAGAAAGTTTTGAGAACAGTTAGGAAAACTGGAAGAAGAGCAGAAGTGTGGCAATTTCCATATATTCCTGAACTAAGAAATAGTAATTATGCTGGGAATTACAATTATCAGCAGCATTACGGCGGCCCTTCAACTTACTATGCTTCTCAGCCCTCGTCCTCTTGCTACAACTACTACAAGCACGGCTACAATAATCATAATTACGTCCCTTCGTACGGCGGTGGCAGCCAAGGACATTCGACGGTTTTTGGAAATCGCACCGGCGATACTTTCAGTGATGAGAATCCTCATGGGTGTTCCATCATGTGATATCAGAGCAAGCATACTGATAAATGGATATCCACAATATTTCTTGACTAGCAAGATTATTTTTGGTGAGTAAAAAAAATATATATATACATATATATTTTATTTTGTATGATTTTATATCTTAGTAAAGAAATGTTTACATTATGTATTAGTACTTGCATGATGAAATTTGTAATTAATTGCATTCTACTCATCTTTGATCATGTAAAATTCAATATAAAGTTGTCTTTTGGCGTTCTTAATTTATTTTGCTAGCTCTTGTTGACATAGACTTGGCCCTGTCTTTTTTATACTTGAGGTTGGTGTCCTCATTCTACAAGCATGAGAAAATCATTGTGCAGTAGTCATTATCTTATTCCATGTAAAATTTCAAGTGAATTAGTTTATTATGAAGAGAAAAACACAATAAAGATAGAGTCCATTTGTTAACTTAAATTATTGATTTGGACAAAAATAAATTTTAAGAACCGACTACAAATTTTGTCAAACATGTAGGTACCGAATGTGATATTATTTACATTTGGTCCTAAGTTGATATATATGATATAAAATTATAACCCTATTTGGCTCAATCAAAAAAGTAGTTTAAAATTTCAGCCAAAGCAACAATTAGCCCATGTTTGACAACTGTTATTTGGGAAAAACAATGTTTTGAATAATGTGTTTTAAAAGAATGTGTGGTTAAAAAGTAAGAAAAATTTTGAATTTAAGTGCATATTATTTTATTATGTGAATATATGGTAAAAATGAGTATAAAAAAAAAAAAATTTCTCAAATAATGGTGGTCAAACAGGGACTTAATTAATTCTAATCACACATTTTATTGGATCAACAAGTTTTCAACCACACATTTCATCAATTTCTATCAAAACTAAGGCCGTGGTTGGTTTGCTATTTTCGGCCCATTTTTCTTTTTTCATTTTCGAAAACGCGAAAAACGCATTTGGTCCGTCTTTTTCGAAAATGCATTTTTAAAAACGAGTTAAAATTTATAATTGAAAATGCAAAACGACTTTTTATCGTTTTTAGCGTTTTCAGTTATAAATGTCGAAAACGCTCAAAACGCGGAAAACGGACCGTTCTCGGAGAAAACTAAAAATCGTTTTGAAAATGAAAATGAAAAATGAAAATGGAAACATCTCATTTTCATCAAAATCAAACTGGGGCTATATGAGGTACAATTCTGTTAATTTTTTTTTTCTTCTTTTCCACCGGTTGTGCCCTTTAAAAAATTAGTATGTGAAATTCGCTGCGGCTAATGCAAATTTTTTTTTTTTACAAGTTCAATCCCACGTAGAACAATGCAAGTGAGCATGTATCTCAAATCAAAAGATAAAATAAAATTCCACTCATTTGGATAATGATACTTTTAAAACCGTATTGATTTTTTCACTACATACTATTTTATTATATTTATTATGAAGTATCAGTCCAATTGAGTCGATGGTTTTGCAAGTTTTGAGATTTTTTGTAAATAGGCAAATCTCCTTAAGTCCCTACTTCCCCATATAAATCATCTTGGGTTCTAGTGTGGTTTTCCCCCCATCTTATTCACATATCCACCCTCCCCCACCCCACATGCATGCTCCGAACCCCTCTAAATCCATCTCAAATATTGCAACCAGTAACTCTTTTAACATTTTCAGATTTCGCTAGTTTTCAGTTTCATTTTCTGGAGTACAGTCCCGCAGGTATACATATCTCAAGAAACTCTTTCTTGGAGCTATCTCCATTTGCATTATCGTTTTTTCTTCAACTAAAGATGGAAATTTTTATATTCTTCTTTCTTTTACATCAGGATTGATTCACATATTTCAATCTGTTCTTCTTTCTGTACACAATAACATGTTCTTAAAATCTTTATTCATAATCAATATATCAGTTTCATTTTAAAGTCCTGGGAACAAACAAGTCCTTTCTTGAACTTTCTTGACATGAAGTTGATCGTAGTAGCCATTTCAGTTTCATCTTCTAAGAAAGAATAGGAGATTGCATATATTTCATATCTAGTTCAGAACACTATTGTGCATTACACATTTGAGTGATCTTCATTTTTTTGGTATTTAAAATCTATGTTCTTGATTTCTTGATATAGGAGATTCATCCTACAGTCACAGGAAGTCTCTCAAGACTAGTTTCTTGAATTCTTCCTGAATCTTGGATCGTTGCCTTGTTAGAAGATGTTGCACTTTTTCAAGAAAAGGTAATTCTCTAATCTAAAAGCATTATGTAATTTTCCTAAGATGATTAGACCAAGAGTTTACTTAAATAATCCTTTTTACAGGGCTCGAGAGGAAGGCTTATATCCGCCTCCTCGCGACCCTCCCCAAGAACATCCAACTGTGGACCAGCAAGACAACATTGATTTTCAAGAGAATCAAGGGCCGCGTGCTTTGTTTGCGCAGAAGGTACAGAATCCCGGAGTTAGAGGTCCAATAGAAGAACACGTAGGAATGACCCCTCCAACGCTATCAAAACTTTTTGGGCGATTCCGCCAAGAAAGAACTTGGATCAGAAGAATCCGAAGGAGTTTCACATATCGAAGACCATAGCAAGCTCAGGAACATGAAGGACCATCTGATTCATTAGTGCATAAGGTAAATAATCTTGGAGTTGGAGGTCCGGTAGCAGAACAGGTAGAAATGAACAGTTCAAACTATCAATCTTTTTTCTTTTCTTTTTCTTGGGTGAAATTCCCCCAAGGGAGAACTTGAATCAGAAGGATCCAAAGGAGTTTCACAAATAGAAGATGACAAAGTGATCAAGCAGAAGTCCAACCAATTGTTCCAGGATGGAACGAAGCCAATGTGGTTCGAAATGAAGACAATTGAGAAGCTGAAAGCATCAATGAATTTCATCCTAGAAACCAATGAAAATAAGAAAGAAGTCGTAGATAGAAAGAGTTGCTAGGAAATGTCTTAGAAAATGTGTGTGTGATTTAAGGGGTGGGGATTAACTCTACTATGCCGACTCTATTTCTTGATTCCTTTTTGTTTTTTACTTAGTCCTTTGCTTATTGATTCCTGCTACGTACGATCTTCTATCATCTACGAATCTTATGGTACTGTCCAGTTATTTTGCTTGCTTAAAGGCTTTTCCCCAAGTAATAAGTCTTCATAATGTATAATAATATGCAGTTGGACATTATCTTTTGTTATGGATTTAATTTTTATTCTGGCATGATTAATATTACAAAAATGTAGGAATAACAATTCAATCTTTACATATCAATAAAAGATCTAATAGTTTTTGTTTTGTTCCAGAAATTACTATTTATTACTGTTCTCTATCCAGGCATCAAGAATTCTAACCTCATTAGTTGTATGACACCATATAATCATATCAGTAACTTGCATAAAATTTCCCTGAGGGTGATAGGACTAAACTACATCAAAAGTTGAAAAAAACAGAGAGACTAACCGCACATATATCAAGCATCGTCTCAGTGTCACAAAGTCCAAAACTGCTCAATCAACTCTTGTATGCTAGACAACTCCTCTTGTGCGTCAAGTACCATTTTGTATGATTCCTTTTCACTTCTGCTGAGATGGTAGGAAGACGATACATTCCAGAGTCCAATCTAGCGCAGTCAACAAGATTTAGCCTTGATAACATTTCACAGTTGGCCATAATAGTCTCTACCCCCTCCTTCTGTACCCCGGCACTTGTAATTGTCAAAACTCGAAGCTGACGAAGATCTCTAACGTGCAAGGAAATAATATTGTCGAACTTAAGGCTGGATTCTCCAGAGAATGGCAGTTCAAAACCAGATAGAATTCAAGCTCCTGCAGTTTGTGCGACTTCCTATTGATAACTCTTCCAGCTTCTTCCAATTCCTGCTAGCCCTTATAAATCCCCCGCGCTGAACAGTCTTAACTTTTTAAGATTTGGTAACCTGATGCAAATTTAAAAAGACGTAGAGACAACAAATCATAAGACGGTACAAATTGCCCATGAATATTTCCCATGGAGGAGAATTCAGAAAATAGGCTGCAACTATATAAAAGCAATATATAAGGCAAGAAAATAATACCTTTTGCTAATGTGAACGAGGTTGTCATCACTTGTGTAAATATTACTTGGTAAAATCACTTCTGTAACATAGTTCAGACGATCTCTATAGGCAACAGAGTCCAAGATCCAGTTCAATCCATGGGGTAATATGTTTTCGTACTGTAAACTTATGCCAAATTCCCCAAAATAAGTACCGTGCTTCGATTTTGACATTACTCTGCGTGGACTATACCCTTGATAAAGAACTTCTTTCAACTCCGAGAAATCTATAGTATGGTAATTTATCCAGAACAAAATCTCCCAACATACATATCGCCACCGTTGACAAACCTTTGAAATCTTAAAGAACAAATCTTCTTCTGGTAGGAGAAGAAAATTTCCCATAGAACGTCCGTATCTGCATTTCTCCATATTTTATATGCATCGTCGCCACCAATTTTCCTCCTCCTGCTCCTTCTCAAAAATTGACTCGGCATGTCTTAACCTATTGTTGGCAAATTGGAGGGGAAAAATTATTAAGCCCGATTCTATGGAAAATATTGTCCTTATGGGGTTAGAGAAAGTCAAATATAGTGATTTTGATTTAATAGATAACAATTATATTTGTTTATTTTTATGATTAAAAATGAGAAACAAACGGACGTTAAGTAAAATTTTAATTACACATTTTTAGTCAATCTACGCTTCAAAATGCATTCTTTCTCTCAAAATGGGCTCACAAAAATGGGTTTCTCGTTCCTAGTTCTTGCTGAGATGGTCACCCACCTTTTAGAAAATTTTAACTTTAGTCACCTTGAAATATTTCAATTTGGTTATCGAAGTTTCTATTTCATATCATTTATTAATTACATAATCAATGTAGACTCCAAATAGTAAACATATAGTATTGATCAATTAGGGTGTCGAATGAGTCAATCCTGTGCATGTTTCAACGAGCCAATATGGTCCTTCGGTCGGAGTCATATTTTATTTTAACAACCAAATTTAGTTATTACAAAATCCTCCTAAATTTAAAAGTGTTAAAAAAGAGTAATGATGTTTGTCTAGAGTCTAAATTATGATGAACGTCTTAATTAGCATAATTATTAGATTTGGATTAAATTTATTGTTCATTATTGAATTAATATGACACAAATAATATTCCAAGGTATAATTTTTGATTGAATAAATTATAATTTTCTGATGACAATAAAATTAACTTTTAGCAATATTGAATTCAATTATTTACATTGCAATTCCCTTGTATTTTCACTTATTCCTTATTTGATCCCCATTATTTTTAAAATACATTTTTTTCCCTTCTTTTCAACCAAGCATTTTTAATAGAATAATATTACACCCAAATCCAAAGTTTTTTCTTATTTTTCAATTATTGCACATTCTCTATTAATCTACTATTCTAAAATACATTCTTAGCCCTTGTTTTATTTTCATTATTTTTAAAATACATTTTTCATTCTCTTATTTTAAAATATAAATTCTTTAACAAAATAATATTGCACGTAAACTTAATTTTTTAACCACATATAATTCATTTAAATATTATTTTAAAATACATTTTTATAAAAAAAATTTAGTTCCGGGCCTTAAGGAGGCTCATCTTTCAATCTCCCTCTACGATAACCCATCCAGATATTGTAATACATACAAAAATATAAAAAATAAAAAAGGTCAAACTTCAAAAAAAAAAAAAAAAAAAAAAAAAAAAAAAAAAAAAAAGAATAAGCATAACATGAGGCGGTGGACCCAAAACCAATTTAAAACACACATAAGAAGGAAACAAACCAAAAAGACTGAAGAAGACAGAAAAGAGAAAGGAAAAAAGAAGGAAAAGAGAAAGGAAAAAAGAAGGAAAAGACGCCAATGCGTTAGGAATTAAGTGGGTTATACTATTAGACTTGAATTTTTCAATTTTGAAAGGTAAGTAAAAAGTTACTTATTGAAAGGTTATGTTTGATTTTATAATTATTAGATTGTTAGATTAAATTCAATTTTATTGAAGAGAATAAATATAATAAACTATGAAATTGAGTAAAATGAAAGAAAAATTAGTTTTAGTAATTAAAAAGACTTTAGAAATCGCCTAAACGTAAAATAATTAAGTTTGGGTATCACCTATTTAATTATTGAAATTACTTAAAATAGTTAATTATTGATTTAAAAATTATATTATATTTCAGGCGGCGATACGGATATTGGGACAGTTTACCGACCGAGTTGATTTTGGCGTACATAGTTCTGTGAGTTGAAAAATATAAATATTTTTAAAGTATTTATAAATTAAGTATATTGTTAAAGTATGTGCAATTATATGCAATTATATGTTTGAATTACATGGTCATTATAGAAATATCTTTTATTATGATACATGTGGAATTTCAAAGATTGTATATTATACATTGTGAATTAGAATATGAGATGTGATTTTGAGATCGACCAGAAAAGTACCCGTGATTATATATTTCTTCTAATTCACCGAGGAGCTTTGACTGTGTTGTATACTACACTAATGGGTCATGGATCGGGGATGAAGGGGTCTCGACCATGTACATATAATTCACTGAGGGGTTTTGACCGTGTTCTAGAATTGATTACCAGAGGTTTTTGAGACCGACTTTCATTCACGGAGGGGCCAAAGGCCCGTGGAGAAAGTTCTTAGCTCGAGGGGCGGATTACAGATTTTAATCAGAGGGTACATTTTTGGTGAATTTTCCAGTACATTTGATGTGATTAGATTATAGCATAATTACCATCTTATGCTCATATCATGATTTTAAAATGATATTTTATGACCTTACGTGAATATTTTACTTTTTGGCTACAATTACATGATGGTAGCTTGTGAATTATAAAATGATATGAATTTGATTTTCAATAAAAATGTATACATGAAAAATTATATTTATTTTGAACTTCTCCACTTATTGAGTTATCAACTCATATATTTTTCAATGTTTTTCATTATTAAGTAGCAGTTGAGTATCTGGGCATCTTTTGGAGTTGAGCCTTAATTTTGGAGTCAGTGCCACACAACAGAGTTTGTTAGTATGACTCATTTCATAGAACATGTAGTCAGTGTTTGAGGATGCATGTTCATGTCTAGATCTGATTTTGCATCACTTGTAGATAGTTATGGGGCTCACTATATATTTTGTATCCAAATGTATATTTCATTTTATTTCTTGGTAAAAGTTGAGGTTTCGGCTTATCTTTATTGTGTTGTGTTATTGTTTGGGATTGATGTGAAATTGATCACAGGTTGGTTAGTCCTGTTTATAAGGGAGATAATGTCAAAATTCTGTTAGAAAAATTATGTATAAAAAGTAATATATTATACTTGTAGTAGCTTTGATGGTGGGTCCGACTTTTAGTTGGTATCCATCATTGGCGCATGCCATGTCCGGATCTAATAGAGTTACACGGGACGGGATGTGTCAGATATTATTAGATAGGACCTTCAAAACTACCCACAGTTCTCACTAAAAGGTACAAACTTTTCATTACAATATGCATGAATTTATATTTCTGCGAGTTGATTTCTTCTTCTTATATTGCAACACTGATATTATATGTCATTCGATTTGATATTGAAATAATTTTCATATTATTTCATTTTTCTATATGGAGTTTGAAATATTTTCCTTTGTTGATGAAATTTTTTATTTTCGAGTGTTCTTTGGGTTATATTTTGTTTGTAAATGTTGGCTGTGTTGTTTGATTTTTGAATGAATTAAATTAATGTGTTTTCAGTTATATCTCATTGTTTATCACGAATTAATGTTAATTATGACAATATATTCCTACATTTTATGAAGGATCGGGATGCACAACCTGATTTTGAAATGTGTCAATATTCACGTACAAGGGTGATTCGCCGCTCTCAACTCTTTACATTTAAGTGCGGACACATACCATATTTGACCGTTGTAGTTCTACTTTTTCTTGAATGACACAGTATTTTAATCCTGTCTTTTTGCTAATATATTTTGTACATCGAATTTCTATGGACAATTTCGTAAAATCCAGATAATAATGTTCAATATGTAATGGCCAACTTACAAAAATTACTTCGTACACAGGTCGAGGTCTCATAATATATATTCTAACAAACGATACTTGTGCACTTTATCTGGCCAGGGAAAGCTATTTGATATTGAAATTGATGGAGTAAACATAAAATTAGGAAAAAAATGTATAGCTCGAATATTTCATGTAATGTAACATCAGTTGTTATGCTCAGATTCTACACGCCGCGGATCCCAAAGTGTCATCTCACCTCCGAGGTCGAGATCAAGTGGACCCCGTGCAGCACCACATATTCCGACCTGAAAACGACCCTTCCGAAACTTCTCCGAAGTGATATAGCGATTCCTACTACTGATCTGCCGAAACGTCTCACCTCCGAGGTCGAGATCAAGTGGACCCTGGTTAGAAAATCCATCGCCAATTTGAGATTTGTCCTGCACCTAAGGCTTAAATTGATTTGACGTCTCCATGGGGCTAGTTGATGTGACTTATCAACTTTATGTCAATTCAACTCAGAAGAAACAAACTGTCCGCCCACTCTACAAACGCGGCTGATTGACGCCTATGAGCAGATGCTTCATATCGTCAGATGTATACACGCGTTCCACATCCAACGGTTCATACCACCTATAAATACCCAAAGTTTGGCAAGAGGCAAAGGTAATGAAACTCTTACTACATAGCACTCCATAACAAGTTTATATATTTTCTCATTCCCCTTTATTGTTGATTTGCATAGCCTTTGGGTACTGTTCCGATCACCCAAACCTGACTTGACCATCGGAGTGTATACGGTCGCCACCACCCCTGCTGGTTCCGGCCGTGTGCGCCTAACTATTCGCTGATTGTGCGCGGGGAGGAATACGTGGAGTAGCTTTCAGTTGGCCACGTGGAAGGACCAATTTTCGGGGTCAACAGATTGGCACCGTCTATGGGAACCACTCCCCATTCGAAGTTTTGCGTTCTCCATCGGAGAAGGTACCGGAAAACCAGCGACTAACCCTGAAAAGGGGGCATTCTTGAAAAAGAACAAAATCGAGTTACAATCCAAGTTCTCACTACCCTTGAAAAAAGAGGTAGGATGAGCTACAGCCATGAAGACGACAACCCCATGAGAGAGGCCTCTGAAGAAGAGGTACTCCATAACAATGTTACTCATCAGAGACCGTATCACCGGCGTCGCCGAGGCGGAAGAACAGCCATACTCACTGAAGAAATGGCTCAGATAGCTGCGGGTATGAGAGACATAGCAGCTCAGAATATGGCGATGCAGGAACTCCTCATGCAAGCCCAGGGTCACCAGAGCTATCAAAGGCCCCAAAGATCTTATCCGGTGCAGGAAATCCCTTTATCTCACTCTCGAGGCCACATGAGCCGGCACACAGAATGTCCCCTCGAAAAGGAGATGAACGCCGAAGCAACATCATATGTGCAAGGGAGTCAGCCATCAGAACCACGCTTGG